CTCACATATGCTGCATTCTATACCTGTGACCACCCGTCTACCACACGATACATTCAGGCACGGATAAGACACACGTGGCATGGTAAAAAGGCTATGAAAATCGGAAAACAATGAAATATGTTATCACCAGCTTGAAAAGAGGTTACGCAATGTATAAGGTTTACGGAACACGACGCTGAACAAATAACAAAATCCTTTAATCTACTACGAGTACAATATAGCAACGCTAAAATAGAGACCCTAATTATGCTACTACACTAATATGCGATAACTCACGGTTGAAAATGCAAGACTTATCTACCACGACACAATTTCGAACCACTCGGTCAAGGTCACTCGATCAGGTCAGGTCGGTAGTACGCACAGGAATCGGAATAAAAACCGCACAATAAGAATCACCGGACACGAGTCAAGGATTAACTGTCACGGGATGAATTACGGAAGCACTCGACCGCAATGGCACGAGCTCGCAATATCTCACGTGAACGAGACTCGAGGAAAAAGCCACGGGAATAGTAGTGCGTAGTTCATTTATTGAAAGAAATGAGGGCGATTAAATAATATGTAAAAAAGAAGATTATTGGCTGTCTAAGCTTCCACCAATCAGATTGCAATACTTCTTGCATAATCTTGCTTCTGTGTGCACTGTCTTGGATTGGCTAGCATCATCCACCAGTGACGTGTATTCAGAAGCCATGCACGTGTCATTGACGTCATCGTTCAAATTTGATTGATCGCAAATATCCTGAAACTGTAACACGCCACTCCAGGGTAGGCATCATCGTGTAGTCCTGGAGCACCACAACTCTCCTCCTTCAAGAGAGCTTCGTCAATTTTGCTTGCTCTTCTGATTGGTCGTCGGAGTGCTAGTGAGGTATCATCGTCGGTAGACATTCCCGGAATAGGGGGCTACTGCCTTTTATCTTCAGTAGGTGTTGACGGCGTCTCCCGATTCAGATTTCCTTGAATTTCTTCGACAGGAGCTTGTTTCGAAGTGGAAGTTTTGTTGAAGTGAATTTGGCCGATGTGGCATCGATGAACCGTCGCATCTGTCAGATCTGTGATCTCGACCATAGCTTGACCAATTTTGCTGGTAATGATTCCTCTTGTTGCTCTCAGTTCGCTTCCTCGGAATTATACGACGTCACTGGGATCCATGCATCAAAGTGAGGAACGTAGGCTTCTGGCTTTGAACATTTTCGCTGGGCTCTCTTTGGTGGTAGCATGTGCGGCATTTTGGTATTGCAGTAGGAAGTTGTCGAGGAGTATTTCCAACTTGGATTTGCAGAGGAAATGGCAATCTTCTAATGTTTCCACCAAATTTTCTGCTGCGCCGTTCGAGCAGGAGTGACGTGGTGCTGTGCGCAAATATCGGCAGCCAATACTGTTCAGCCAAGTTTTCAACTCCGCAGAGCACAATTGCGACTCATTGTCAGTCAGCAACACTTGAGGAACATCCTGTATACTGAAACACTTTCGTAGTACTCGCATCACGAACGATGTAGTTGGTGTGCTGGTTAGAAACACTTCAGGCCATCTGAGTACGAATCGATAAGTACTAGTGCGTGATAATGACCGAGAAATGGTCCGCAGAAGTCGGCGTGCGTACGTTGCCATGGACTATAGCTTTCTGGCCATGGAACCCAATTCTTCGGTTTTGACTTCTGCTTTTCTAGGCATGCTTCGCAGTTCTTATCATTTGGGCCAATGTCTTCAGCTAGGTCGAGCCACCAGCACATCTGTCGTGCCAACGACTTCATCTTCTCCACCCCTAAGTGGTCTTTACGCAGATCTTCTAGCACTGCCTTGCGTAGCGGAGGTGGGATGATCAGTCGATCGTTGCGGCATAATATTCCGTCAGGTTGGACACTGATTTCTTCACGGTGTGCATAGAATGCTGCGAACTTCCGCTTCAGGTAGGGACGCCGTCCTTCTGATAGAGCCGTTATGATTTCTGCATGGTACCTCTTGGTACATCTGCGTAACTCCTCTCGTGATACCCGGGTAGCAGTAGCAATGAAATGGCATCTCTTAGCCTCCGAGAATTTGGACCACCGCGAGAGAAAATCGGCCTAGGGAATTTTATGCCCGGATGGTGCACTATGTCGTAGTCGTAGGCAGTCAATGCAATGCTCCATCGCTGANTAACTGAATCATCGCCGTAGTCGGTTTGAAGATCGACTTTTGTGGACTTACTAGACATTGCAACGCTTGGTGATCGGTTACGATGGTGAAACGCAATCCAAACAGGTATTTTTGTGGGCGACAGATGGCCCAATATATAGCTAGTGGTCCTTTCTGCGTCTGCTAATATCCTCGTTCTGCCTTGTTGAGTAGACGGAAAATGAAGACAATCGGACATCCGATCTGTTCGAGGATGGCATCGATGCCAACATCTGATGCGTCGGTGATCCGGCAATGGTTGTTGGGCACGGCTGTCTCCACCGTTTTGACTACTTGCGTCCGCGTTCCGGACCAGGTTGAGGATCACACCCCTGCCTCACCTACATGGTGTTTTAAGGTTAGGTGTCTAGCGTGTAGTCACTCCCACATCAAAGCGACCAAAGCGTAATTAATCTAAATAAATCAAACCACTCGTTGATCGATTGAAGCCCCAAACCCAATGAACCTGTCTCCAAGAGCGAGTTGTATTGCAGCATAGAGTGAAACATGCTCCTTTACCGACGTTTTTTTCTGGCTGTATTCCTTCCTTTCTATTCCTGTCCTCATACCTCCATCTTCAGGCAGCATTTGTTCCACAGATCGCCTCTCCGTATTTCCCCGCACTATTGTCGTACGTCTTATCCTTCCGAGACAAGTTTTACCATTACTTCCAGTTGTAGTGACACATTTTCAATGCATCCTCAATCTTCCATATATTCGTCGGTGACCTTGTCCGGTTTGTGTTCCTTTCACACTGTGTTTTCGTTCTGGTCCCCACCATTTTTATTGTCGACCTATGTACTTACACGGTTAGTGTACATATGCTCGCTCTGATCACTTGATCATGCCTTGTGCATGTCTCACGGGCTCCGTGAAATATACATATATATATTTATGATATCTTTCGTACCCGTTTGCACATTACATTCTTACACTCTGTATTATTACTTTTCGCTTCCACTGCCATTTTTACATTGTTATACATTTGATCATGCACACTAGCATGCTTCACGGGCTTTGTGAAATATACCATTATTATTATTATTATACAGTTGGAGGTTTTGTTGGAGAGAACGAGGCGAATACTGGTCGGTTAGTTATCATCTGAATGATTTCACGCAGAATTTGTTCACACTCGGTAGTCCATTTCCATTCCGTAGTCGACTGAGCAGCAAACAGCGGTTGGGCTTTTGTGGTGAAGTTCGGGATGAAACGCGAGTAGTATTGGAGACATCTCATGATGGATCTGAGTTGGTTTTGGTTTCTTGGTGACTCGAGTTCAGTCAATGGGTGGAAGCGACTTGGATCAGGGCGAAAGCCTTTTGCATCCACTGTGAAGCCTAAAAATTCCAATTCTGGTGAGTTCAACATGCATTTGGAAACGCTAGTTGATGCCTTCCTTTGGGCGAACCGCTCCAGTAGTTTGAGGAGTCTATTGTCATGCTCGGCCTTCGTTGTACCAAACACAATGACGTCGTCCTGGTAGCACGCCATCGAGTCCGCGGATGTCTTCGTCACTCCCCGCCTGGAATATGCCGGAGAATGTGTGGAGACCAAACGGTAGGAAGTTGTATTGATACAGTCCCCATGGTGTGTTGATAGTGGTGAAATGCCGGCAGGTTGGTGCGAGCGAAATCTGGAGGTATGCATCGGCCAAGTCAATCTTCGAGAAGTATATGCTACCGTGCAATGCTTTCATGAAATCCTCCGGTTCTATGGTGGTAATCGCACACTTTCGCCACCGCGGGTTGAATGTTAATTGGTAATTGCCACAAATTTGTGGTGTTTTGCAGTCACTTTTGATCGCGATAACGATTGGCGTTGCCCACTTACTGGATGTGACTCGTGTGTTTACGCCATCGCGCTTCATTTTCTCGAGGGTCTGCCGTACACCATCACGTTGGCCGCAGGGAATTACACGTTGTTTCAGGAAAATGGGTTCACTATCAACTTCCAATTTGGTCGGCTGTACTTTCATACCTCCTGTATTATTGGAACATTTCACGATCAGGCGCTGTAGATGGGTGTGCATATTGGACACAGCTTGTATGGAGCGACACACAATGGTTCAGTTCACGNGATTATCTGTCGAATGTACCATCAATGAAACCTCACCAATCAATGGCGATTTGTGTCCAGTCACCCTAAGGATTCGCACGGATGTTGGATGGATTTCGGCTTGGGGACAGATTGACCAAAGCACAGCAATACAAATGATATATTCCGTGCTTCCCGTGTCAACAGTGAATCTGTGCGTTGTGCCGGACTGTTATGTCACATGTGTGTATAGGAATTAGATGCGTTGGACTTCGGGTCGTAGAGACAGCACAAGATTTTTGCGATTTGCAGCAGTTGGCTGTGCAAGATTGCAACGAGGCAGTTTACACACTCCGAATGTGGCCAGTTTTCCCGCATGCATGACACTTGGCATTTCGGAGGCGGCAGTTGGAGCGCAGATGGTAAGCTTCATATGACAAACAGGGATTGATACGTTTCTCGTTGCCCGAAGAGTCGTGCTGCTGCTTCGATATACACTCGGCCATTGGGGGTCAGGTCGGTTGTCTCTTCTGCCGTTGGAATAATGTGACTGATTCGCCGGAAGTAGCTTTTATCAGGTCGTCGTGTTGCTCACAGATCTTGCGGGCATCGGCATAAACACAATCTTTCCTCTCCAGCAACTTCCGTTAAAGGGTCAGATTATTGACGCCTGCCACCAAGTGGTCACGCACTTGTTCTTCCAGGGGAGCACCATAGTTGCAGCGTGTACGTCAAGCAATTCCCACTTGAGTGCCGCATAGCAGGTAAGTCAATATAATACACGGCAGGTCCCCGCAACTTCATCAGGTAACGGCATGGTGATCATCTCCCTCCAATAAACACACTCGTCGAATATCGCACACCTGTTCACAGGCAGATGTTTTCAAGTTCACTGTTCTTACTAGTCCATCTGAGTCCGTGTGGCTTTCTATGACTACACCCAGTGGCCAGTTGTCGCGTTGTAGCTTTTCGTTGGCCATAAGGACAACATCTCCAACCTTCAGCGACCGTTCTCTATGCAACCACTTCTGTCGAGCTCGAAGGGCTGGCAGGTACTCTCTTGTCCAACGGTTCCAAAACACCCCTGCCAGGTAGTTCGCATGCTTCCAACCCGAGGTATAGCAACCCCTAATATTTTTTGGCATATCTAGACCATAACGGAACCTCAATAGCAGGTCACTCAGAGTTAGCGCCATTCCTTGCAGGTCATCGCTGGTGACGGGTACAAGCGGTCGGTTGTATCCTTTCGGCCTCTGCCAGAAATGTACTCAAAGTTTCATCATCCGGCACCTGTTGTTCACATAATACTGTCCAAATTTTTCGTATGGACCGTATAAGCCGTAGGGCGGGTTGAAATGCCATTGTGTTCACGATGACGACAGCCGGTCTTGCAGGGCGCATTTATCTAACGGCATCAACCACTTGCTCAACTCCTTTTGTGCACCGACCAAATTGGACCCACTGTCGAAGAACACATTCGATGGATTGCCTCGCCTACCCACGAATATCTGCCAGGCCATAAGAAAGAAGTCGATCGACATACTGTGTACGGCCTCTATATGCCTAACTCGTGACCGTAGGCAGGTCATCAGGCATCCGTATCGTTTCTCCGTCGACGTCTTTCGTCTCGCCCAAAGTGGCCCGAAGTAGTCTACTCCAGTTTCGGCGAAGGGCCACCAACCTGGTCGTACTCGGGAACTGAATGTAGCATTCTGCCGACGACAAGAGAGGCAGTTTCCCACGATGCGCTTCACCGTAGCTCTCACTATCCAAAACCGACGGCGAATCGTAATGAGTAGGTGATTTTCCCCGGCATAACCTTCTTGCATGTGAATATNGAATATGTATGATGAGTGTGTGCGTGATGTGGTGGTTGTTGGCAAGATGATGGGATTTTTAGCGTCAACGTCTAACTCAGAGTTTGTCAATCTACCGCCTACTCTCAGCAACCCATCTACCAATATTGGATAGAGCCTTCGGAGAGAGCTGGAACGTAATCTACGTCGATCGGAGTCACCATTCCCCTTGCCTAACCTCTGAAGCTCCGACGGGAAG